AAATTTTAACTAATTTTATTATGTATAATTTTTTTTAAAAAAATTTTTTTAAGTGTCCGCAATAATATGTCCACCCTTTGTATTCTACTGAAATCAAATCAACACCATGTCTGATGCAAAACAACCGATGAAAATACAAGAAAAATAGTAATAATAAGACCAATAATAAGTATGATGGTCCAGGCTGAAAACCAAACTCTATGTGTTCGAAAATTTTTATTTCGTTATTTAATGATTTTTGTGATACTTCCAATGCAGCCTTTATATTTAAAATTTTCCAGAGCGACAAATCAAATGATTTGAATGTCTACTGATTTACATTGTTTTTTTTTGTTTTTTACTCTATATTTAACAAATATCATTATGAATCCAGCTTTTTATATATAATGTTGCCCTTGCTGTTTCTGGATGTAATCGATTTCTCATAGCTGTTAAAGTATGTCCTGCTATGGAAAAAGCCTGCTCAAATGCAACACTGGTTGCTTGAATCGATAGGTAATCTCGCGTTATTTGGCTTAAAATCAGATATTCTTTCATTTGAGTTTTCTACCATAATAATGGATCAATATTGTTTTCAGTTCCACTCAGCAGATATTTTTAAGTTCATTTGCTATGTTATTATGAGTAATGGTGGTGGCAGCGGTGGCAGAGGTGGTGGTGGTAGAGGTAGCAGCAGCAGAGGTGACAATGGTAGAGATGGCAGCAGCAGAGGTGGTAGTGGCAGAGGTGGTGGCAGTGGCAGAAGAGATGGTAGCAGAGGTAGTGGTAGCAGAGATGGTAGCGACAACAGATAAACTTGATGGTGAGTTGGTACAAAGCATTTTAAAGAAGTTTCGTGTATCTGTTAATTCATTTGTAATTATTGTAGTTGATATAGGTGATGTTAAAGTGAGATATTCTATCAGGCGAATAATTGAATCTTTAACATTGTTTTTTTGCTCATCTGTTAAAAAAACTGATAATTTTTTTGCGGATCAAGAACAGCTGAAATTTGAGATGAATTATTCATAAAAGACCAATACTCATTCAATTTTTGATATATAGCATGTGCCATTAGATACTCGGAGAATTCTTCATTATTCATATAACGAGCAAGATGTGCTTGTATTCCGAGAAAAACGACTTGAATATCACCATGTGTTGGATAATTTGATGCTGAAAGAAGACAAGTGACTCTTTCGATTGGTATAAGTAAAATTATAGTATTCTTTTATAATAAATAAAGATTAATAATTTAATATATTTGTAAAAAAATATATTTTTTAGAACTTACCTGAATTTTTTGACGATCATTATTACTTGGACATTTTCTTTGTATAATTCGATTATTCGCGGCAAGCATATTTATGGCTGGTTCCATCTTTTGCCATTTATCTAACATATAGTATGTAGAGTTCCATCGCATTTTAATATCCAATTCTGGTGCCAAATACTTGATATTTTTTATATCGCACAAAACTTTCAATTCTGCATTTGTTGTTGAAAAAGCTTTCAAATATGACATTAGTGATCGAACTTTTAAAATCGATTCATCGATGAATTCCATTCCTTAATTGACTGCAAGATTCAAAACATGAGCCGTGTACCAATAATAAACAAATGTAAGATTATTAAAATCTAATTCAAGTTCTTCAGCCGTATAGTTAGCACATCCAATCATTGATGAGGCATTGTCTGTAATTAATGCCAAGGTTTTTTTAGCCAAGTCGAATTCTTGAAGAACATCCATTATTGCAATTGCCATATTGATACCTGTATGGCGAATTGAAAAAGATATAATGTTTAAGAGAAAATTTTTTAACATCCAATTGTTGTTAACGAAGTGAATTATAAAGCTGAAAAAAGCATTATTATTTGATGCAGTCCATATGTCAGATGTTAATGAAACTTTTCCTAAAATTTAAGCAATTGTTTTCTTAATATCCATTCGTTTTTCTTCAAAAAACTGAGAATTTGTTGCTTGGTTGTCTTCCGATTATGAAAACTGTATCTTTGATCAAATATTTGTATCATCTTACGCCACTCTTTACATTCAACAACAGTAAATAGTTGTTGATTACATATAATCCACTTAATTATAGCATTATCTCGTATTTCTTGATCTTTTTCGGTATATGAATCTGTTCGATATTCATAAAATATTTTTTGTCATTTATGTGGTGTATTGATGTGGTGACTAAAGATGGGTCCCTAAAGTATTTAGCATATAAAATTTACGTCCCTTTACGTCCACGTCCCCTAGAGGACAT